TGGGCTCGCCATGTTCGTGACGCGCAACAAATGCCTTATTCCTATTCCTCGAGAAATGTTAGGAATATATAATTTTTGGTACATAGGAGTGTCCACCCTCTCATATGGGTGGGACTAGCTTGAATAAAATATTCGAGTGGACCCCATGCAATGTGAGAGGGTGGATATCCTTCTGTATAAAAAATTATGTTCAAGAATCTTTATCCTATTCCCATTATGTATAGAAAAGAAATTGCAGATAGATGTTGGATCAATTTCTCTAAAGAAAATTTTAACAGCAAATGCCTTGTTTCTAATTCCTGTAATGTATGACTATTATTACTGCCCTCCCTTGCAGTGTAGAGAAAGCAAGAAAGAATGCAATTCCTGTGAAGAAACATGGAAGCTCGAAAGTAATGAATTCATATCAGCCTTAGCAGCAGGCTTGAATTCGAAACTAATTGTAGAAGTCACTTCCGAGGCCTCTTCATCGACAGTCGCCTTAGCAGCAGCTGCTCGACAAACCAGAGGAAAGCTCCTGTGCATTCTTCCTGATCCAAGAACTCTAGACAAATCTCTAAAGGTGATTCAAGACTTGGGCCTAAATGAAATGGTCGAATTTAGAACCGGAGATCCTATCGAGGTATTGCCAAATTATGAGAACATTGATTTCTCCCTGGTAGACTGTAACACTGATAAATACGGAAGATTGGTCGAAAAGCTAGATGTGAACTGCAAAAGGTCAATTGTGGTGGCGAATAACTTGGTCGAGGGGAGAAAAGGGGCGGAAGGTCTTTTGAAAGGAGTCGAAACTATGTTTAAAGTGCAGTCTACAAAGCGTCCTATTGGTAAAGGTATGGAGATCACAATGATCGGGAAGAGCAATGAGTTCGGTAAAAGAGAACGAAGCAGACGAAGCCGTAGTCAAGCAGAGCGAAAGGGACAATTCGTGAAGAAGACAAATAAGAGCAAATGGGTTTTTGCAATTGATGAGAAGAATGGAGAGGAACATATTTATAGGATGCCTAAATCTCTGTAAGCAAGGATGAAAAGACTCTGGAAAAAGATGTGATTTCCACATTTTCCCCTTCCTGCCTAGCAGCACAAAAAAGGGTCCATGAGAACATCAAGTTGACAATCAATCCAACATCTTATATAAGCTTGAGGAGTTGGGATCGGAACTTGTGAAAACATGTTGGTTTTGCTTGTGTAAAAAATTGTGTGACAAAGGAAGAAATTGGCGTGTATATTCATGTATTTACTTATTTTTTGAAGTGTTAGAAAATTTGTCTAGGGAAAATGTGTTTACGTTGTCGCTCTCTTCGAACTACATTCTAAAATACAATGAAATTCAACCCCGGTTGTTTATGTGGTTTCATCTTTAATGACTGAACCAGAAATGATAGAAGTAATTTATTTTAAGAAAATTCAACTTCAATTTTACTATGTTGACTTACACTATGTAGAATCAATGAAATCCTTATTATTGTATTTTCACGTTAGTTAAATTTATTGTACGTTGTAAAATCCAAATTTTATTTTAATTTGATTTTAACAATGAAATATACAATAAATTTGAATTTTCCAAATGATAAAAATAGCTTAATATCCTACCAAAATATGTTAAAATTATGTTTTAACTATTGTATAATTGAGTAATTATTTCTCGTGGAATCGATAATCCGAAATCGTTTGTCCACTTGATTACTTTTATGCGACTCCTTCATTTACGTTATGTGTTTTTTGATGAACAATAGGCCAACATCATTTTTATAAGTTTAGTAACCAAAATTCAACCACCTAAATTTTCAATCGGAGATGTTTTCAAAGTTTAGTGAACAATTAAAAACGTTTTAAATTTTTAGTGGCCATAATTCTATTACCTCAATCTTTAGTGAGCAATCGAAAATGTTTTTCAAAATTTAGTGAATAACTAAAGACGCAACAATTTGTTAATGGTGTAACAAGAAGATACCACATATACATTCCGTTAGTCATGTCATTAATTTCGTTAAAAGTTTGTAACGGATGTTATGCGAGTGAATAACATACAACATTTGAATAAATTTATTGGCCAAAACTCAACATTTTAAATTTCAATGAGACACAAGTTCAGTAAGCATTGGAACAATATCACATCACCAATGACAAGAAAAGTGAAACGAAGAATGAAACTAACAATCAAGTAGAAACGAGAAATAACTTAATCTAAAACATAATACTTGATATTTGAATGCATAACATTTGTCCAAAACTAGATTAATAGCAAACAGCGTTTCAGTATTTCAAGTGGCAGTTTGATCAACTGGCAAGACGAGGAAGTTCATTATTACACTACACAGAACTTGACTATTACATAGAGAACGGCTTCATATCAAGCTCAAACACAGTTCAATTAACTCCAAACTGGAACTACGTGCATACAAGGTTTATCATTTCTTTGCGAACAGCTTCTTTGGAAGCATCTCCAAAGGCGTAGTTTTGAGCAGAAAAAGCCTTCCAGCACGTTCTTGCAAAGTACCACCACATTTCAATCCACGTGCTTGAAGCTCCAATTTTAACCTCTCCAAGCCAAGAACCTGTAATATATTGTAGTTACGTAATGAGTGGTCGCATGCCCACAACTATGAAGAGCATTTCTTAAAATGAAATTAACTCACTAAAAAAGGTAGAACAGGAAATAGAAAAGTTGCAACATACCTCCAACTCTGCTGCTGAATTAAATCCATTAAAGTTCAGTGGCTCATCCGAATCTTTTACACTTCTAGAAACTGATTCTTTGTGAACTGGTTCAGAATCAGTCCTCTTGCTCCCTTCTTTAGCAGCAGCTCCTTCTTCCTCAGAGCTGGAGACACCTGGAAGCTGACAGGCTAGTTCTTCCACTTTGAGGGAGTGAGATTCTTGAGACACTTCTTTTTCAACAGCATTTAGATCTGCACTTTCCTCAAGAATCTCAACTTCAGGTTCATTCTTATGTTCCCCATCGCTGTTATTTGTAAAAACATCCAGACCTCTACCAGATTTCGCGGACTCTTCCACAGCTGTATCCTCTTCCTCAGAGCCAATGCCAGAAGAACCTTTATCAACATCAGGTTTCCCTCCAGTAATTGAATCTGAACTTCTCTCTGCTTCCTTACTGGAATCTGAATGATTTCCATTATCTATAACAATGGATTTCTCATTCTCCTCTTCTTCGCTGTCATAATCATCATCCATGTCCTCACTGTCACTGTCCTCCAATGTCTTCTTTCCCAGCCTAATAAATACCATGTAGAAAAGTTCCTTAGTTTATGGAACTTCAAAAAAATAAAAAATAAAAACCAAAGCTTTTATATTCCTGATTCACTGTGATATTGTCATCACATATTTTCTAAGTCACAATCGGCTATAACTTTACCTAGTAAGACAACCTAGATGTATAAATTAGAATACCCGTTTGGGAGATATTCTTTAAACAAACAAAATTGCAAAAGACAAGCTTCCATGTACAATAACCATTCGTAGCACATTCTTTAAAGATACAAAAGAACAACATTTCCCACAGTTTTCCAAGAAAGCAATGAGCTCCTTACTATTGTTTCATATTTCAACACTCACCAAGATATCATGGATTTATCATACCCACATCTCCCAACCCAACTAAATATTAGTTGACATGATATATAGACTCTGAATATTCTCCCTTATTCTAAGCATCTTGGAATATAAATTTACTATTTAGATATCATATAGTTATACACTGTGTCAGAATTCTAACATAAAATTACAAGAAAGAAAGCAAAACGCCATACCATATCTTCAACCGCTTGGAATCTAATTCACTTGCCTCCACCGCGTTCTTTCTCTTCAGGCTCACCAACCCTTTAATTGACTCCCTGACGGATCTCTCAACTTCCTCCATACACTTAGCCGAATCCTCCCTATACTTTGCCACATACTTCTCCGAGCTCTCTCCCTTGCTATTTTTACCCTTTTTCTCCACCTCTTTGACCTTCTTCTTTATATAATCCTCAGCCATTTTCTCCAGCTTCCTCTCCTCTGCCTCCGCCCTCCACTCTTCCAGCTTCTTCTCCGCATTCACATGTCTCAGTCTCCGCCCACTCATATCCCTGCAAGCATCAAAATTGTTCGTCTTCTTCTGTCCTGCCTTTGTCGCCGCTCCTCTAAGCAATGAACCAAATCCTCCTTTCCCACCCCTGAGCCGCAACAACAAATGCACCACAACCGGAAAATTCCGAGACCCATCCAAAGACTTTTCAGTCAAAACCGTATCATGGGACCCACTAAAATTTCGATATTGAGGCAATTGGGAATTGGAATCAAAATCTAGGGTTTTAGGGAATTGGGTATTCTTGAAAGAACCCAAATTGAGATTTAGGGTTTGATGGCCATGGAGGACGCGAGAGTTTTGGGATAGGAGAAGTTGAAGATAGGAGGGAATAGAGGTAATCCTCTGAATCTGGTGCTTCAGGGTTGGGATGGAGATTGAAGGGGTATCGAAATTTAAGAATTTGTGCTTACCATCAACAAATTTGACAAGAACTTGATGGATTTCAGATTCAACCACCGCCATTCGCTTGATATATATGGCCTTGATCGTCTTTTTGATCAAAGGTATTAGTCTTTCCTGCGTAATGTGTAATAGCGAGCGCGCGAGGGAGAATGTTCTATCGTTTTGTATGTATATATCGACAGAAGAAACGAACGAATGGGCCGGATGTCCTGATCTAAAAGAAACCCAATTTTGGACCGGTCCAATAATCAATAACTAGACCTTGTTGGGTTCAACGACAAAATAGAGTGAAAAAAATTTAAGATTAAGTTCCCATTCTCATTTTTTTAAAATATATTTTTAAAAAATATTTTGACATCATTTCAATCACATATTTTTCAATGAAATAATATTACACAAATTTAAAAAAATTTCTAATTTTTTAACCATATATTTCCCATCAATACACTATTCAAAAATTCATTCTTATAAAAAAAATGGAGCCCAAACAAGAGCTAAGAGGTTAAGTATCATTTATTTCAAAATTAAGAAAAAATGTTTCAAATTTCAAAAGTAAGATATTCATTAAAATTAATTTATGATTTAATTAATTAATTATATATTTTATTAATTAAATATATTAAAGTCACAGATCTATACAATTTGATCACAAATTAACTATTTAGTTAGTCACATATTATTTTTCGATCATAAATCAAAATTTTTATATGTTACAATTATTTTTCACAATTCAAAAATTTTATAGGTCACAAATAAAGAAGTATAAGTCACAATCTATTTATCGATTTCAAATCACAAATATTATAAATCACAAGTTATTATACAATCACAAATTATCAAATTATCGGTCACAAATTAAAAACTTTTAGGTCACTATTATTTTTTGGTCAAATTTATCTTTTTCATTAGTCACATATTATTTATTGGTCATAAATTGACTAATTTATTGATCATCATCAACAAAATAATTTATGATCACTACAACACTAACAACCACCACCGTCGTTGCCAAAACTACCACCACCTCAAACAAGTCAACACATTGAATAAAAAAACCACCATGTCATTAGGCTAGATACACCATTACCCCAACAAACCCATCGCCACCAACATCTCACCATTATCACCGCGACCACTAACAAGACCACCACCGCCGCCTATATCAACAAAAACCACCACTGTCCATATCAACAAAATCACTACCACTGCCACCGCAACCTCTAGATCCAACAATGCAATCATCCACATTCGATCCAACAACACTTACCTCCACCGCTAGATCCACCACAACCATGAGATCTACCACCATCACCAGCAACTACCACCACAAAACTCACCTCCACCGCCAGATCCACCATCACCATTAAATCCATCGCCATCGTCAACAACCACCACCCCCAATTTCAAGTCGTGCACTGCAACAGTCATAAGGCTGCTCCGTGTATTTGGTGAAGAGGGATAGCAACGGCCAGGTGATGGAGGAAAGAGAGCATAAGCAAGTGTAGGCTGCATCTCGTGGTAGTGGTGCAAGGCTGCGCCACTAACAGAGAGGAAAGAGAGGAGCCGTCACAAACTACTGATGACTCCATCGACAAGTACAGAATAAGAGAGAGATAGAAACATGAGGGGAGAGGTGATGGGGCTGAGTTACGATGGACGGCAACTACAAAGGAAAGGTAAGGAGTTCGTGATTGTTGGAGGCGATGGGTTAGTATAGAGAGGGAGAATAGAGGGAGGTGATGAGTGACATAGAGAGAGAGTGTGTGTGAACAAATGTAAATAGAGATAAGAGAGTGAGAAATAATTATAGGTTGTGATGCATGTGTTAAGTATATATATTTAGTAAAAATAATTATTTTATAAAAATATTAATTAAAATAAAACATCTAATTTTTGAA